GGTGACATCATCCCCCGCAAGGAGCTTGGGGCTGGAGCCCATCTCCCCCGTCCCGGTGGGCGGCCGTCTGCTCCTGCCTGCGCAGCCAGGCCCCGCACGCTCACGGTGTGCTGTTAACCCTGCCTGGGAGTGATGCCACAGCTGGTACCCTGCACCCAGCGGCTCTCAGGAGGTAAGCATCGCCTCCGTCAAAACACAGATGTGCTCATATGGGAAGCTGACACTCCAGTGTGGTCACTCTTTCCTTCGGGATTAGCCAGAATGCTCCCCAGTGATGGCTGGGCTCAGACCCACAGCACTCTTCTTGCATCCCCTGTCCTAAAGCAGCAACAGTCTTGCACCCTGCTGCACGCTCGGAAGCCCTGTTCAAAAATGTTTGGATGTATTTGCTCCTCTGTAAGCACTTTGCTGCCCACCAGGAGGCATCCCCCAAAGAAGAGGCTGGGGAGCAAGGGGGTAGTCTGGATTAAGTGCAATTTCCAGACCAAAAAAAAAAAAAAAAAAAAAAAAAAAAAAAAAAAAAAAAAAAAAAAAAAAAAAAAAAAAAAAAAAAAAAAAAAAAAAAAAAAAAAAAAAAAAAAAAAAAAAAAAAAAAAAAAAAAAAAAAAAAAAAAAAAAAAAAAAAAAAAAAAAAAAAAAAAAAAAAAAAAAAAAAAAAAAAAAAAAAAAAAAAAAAAAAAAAAAAAAAAAAAAAAAAAAAAAAAAAAAAAAAAAAAAAAAAAAAAAAAAAAAAAAAAAAAAAAAAAAAAAAAAAAAAAAAAAAAAAAAAAAAAAAAAAAAAAAAAAAAAAAAAAAAAAAAAAAAAAAAAAAAAAAAAAAAAAAAAAAAAAAAGTAGGGGAGGGACAGAGAGCTAAACCTGGCGTTCCTTCCCCTCCAAGCCTCCCTTGCAGCTGGAAAACAATGCAGGGAGCGAAGACACAAAGCACAAAGGTCTGCACTGCCCCATTCCTAGAAATAGTTCCTCTGAGCTCTTGCTATTCAAAGTGCGGATCCAAAAAAAGCAGTGCTGCATTCAGCAGCTGGTGGGGCCACAGCTGGGAGTGAGCACAGCTGGCCAGATGTTGCAGAGCCAGGTGCAGACATGCCTGTGCAGATGTTGCAGAGCTGGGTGCCTGCTGGAAGGTCGCAGTGTAGGGGTAGCAGGGTCCCTGTGCCTGTGGGGAGGGCAGCATGCTCCCCGGTAGTGCTCCTCCTGCCTCGTCCCTCGCAGCATGTGTGCAGAGGGTTTGGGAGTGGGTGGTGGGAGCGGGACCACCCCGAAGCCCTGCACTGCCTGAGGGTGGCTGCGTGGTATCCACAGCGTTTCTAAAATTTCTGCCCTTGCTGCTATGTGAAGAAATCACGTCACTGTCCGACGACTGACGAGGGGCAGGCTGGCAGAGTTTCCTCTGCAGATGCTTTTGCTGATGTGTCTCTGGCAGTATGTTCACTTGCAAATATCTGCGTAAGCCGTGCGTGATCACCCAGCCTGGGTTGTAGCACGGAAGAGGAGGGCATGCAGCTATGCCGGCTGCCCTCGAGCAGCTCTGTGCAGCCCGCGCCTCTCTGGGAGCCTTTCTGGCACCCTCGGTCACCTCCACAGAGTGGTTGCTTGCAGGGGAGATGCTCCCCCATGCTGCGAGCAGGTAACAACCTGGGTTTACCCCAGCTCCTCTGGGACCTGTTTCATGCCTCTATTTAGTTTATTAGGAGAGTGAATGTCTCCAGCCAGCTGATGGCAGCATTTAAGAGAGACAGAGCTCTCTGTGTCGAGGTAAACAGCTTATTGTAAAACTATGAGGAGAAGAAACACGTTCTTGGTGATTCATGAGGCTACACCTATAAAAGTGGCCGGGAATATTCTCAGGTGCTAGAACGAGACCACCCCTATTGTTACACTGCTTGGGATGGGCCCTGCCACAGTGTTGGCCCAGGCTAACTAGCAGTTTTTGCAAATAACTGCCTGGCACGGCTCTGGATCAGCCCATTCCTCTTTGCAGGTGGCCCTGCACCTTGCAAGGTGAGGTTTCCGCAGTGCAAACCCCGGCTGTGCAGCGCACCAACCCGTCCATGCCCAGGAGCATCTCATGCAGCGTTTGCATGGGCAGGTGTAACCTGGGAGCCAGCACTAGGGCCCTCAGCCTGCACTGCGGGGGTTTGTGGGAGCAACTTTGCACCTAAATGCTTGTTCCTCTGATTTCTGGACTGCGCTGAGCTGTGTATGAAATCTTAAGAGGAGTCTGTCTCCTCGGACAGCTGTCTGGTTTTCAAGCAGACAGAGGCACTGCAGTTAGGTGTTGCTGCAAACCCCCTGCAGTTACTGCCGAATTGGGTGGAGTGGCTTCACGCCTCCCTTAGTGCTGCAAATCCATTGCTGCACTGTATTGGCATTTATGGGGTAAAATCCACACGTATGTACAGATAGATTTATTATCTAGCTAGATAAATATAGGAAATACATTGAGGCCTCCAGCTTCCTGCTGGCTTGCTCATTTTTGGTCAACCCCACGGTCCCATCTGAGCTGGAAGGGTAGGAGACTGCTAAATTCTCCATGGAGAGCTTTCATCCTCCCTTCCCTCATGCCAGGAGACTAGAAAACCCACCACCCCCTCCAGGCTCGTCTGCAAGAGCCAGCCACCAACAAAGCAAGTTTAACGTCTAGTTCTTGACCAGTGGCTCACTGGGGTTTTGATCTGCAAAATAAATGATTGGGCTCAGGGGATTTCTGAAGTGCTGACCCAAACTCGCCAAACGCTGCTGCATGCCATCGCTCCGGAGGGAGCAAAATTCCCACCGTCTCTGCCCTCTGTGGGGGCAGATTTTCAATGGTACAACAAAAGGGGAGCTTTTCCTGGATTTCTTTGTTGTGCAAGTTCGGATCTTTCTAGACTTCCTTTGGGGGTATTTCTCCATGGAGGCCCAGGATACTTGCATAGAATGACATTCACATTCGTGGTGGATATTCAAGCCCACTTCTCACTGCCTATTAACTCCACAAAGAGATTAGAGCTGTGTGAGCACCCGATTACATTCCCCTGCAACACTCGCTCCCTTGCAGAGCCCTTACAATGAGATTTAGCAATGCTAATGCACTACCCTGTTAGTTGTTAGAGCCTGGCTAAGGAGAGAAGCAGGGTAGAAAGAGGCTGAAGCAGCCTGTTGTGGCCCTCGGCTTCCATTTATACCTAAGCAGTCCCACCCCCCCTCAAAGAGAGATTCATGTAAAAATGAGCTTCTGTCTCAACAGGAAGGCATCAAGCCTCTATTCTGTAGAGCTCTATTTTTAAAATAATTCCGTATTTGTTCAGTTTAATGTTAGTCTTCTATCAGCAAAAGCACTCTTTAGTGTTTCTATAGTTATTTATACAATTTCTACACATTTATTTTGGCAAGACCCACCTGCTGGATTCTTAGGGGTTTACAAGCTGCTACAAAATGAAGTTCAAAACAAGACACCTACAGAAAACAGCATGTGGCTTATCTCCACTTTTCTAGCTACTCTGCTAACCTCACTGAAGTCCCATCTAGTCAAGAATACATTTCCTTATAAATCCATACGTAATTAGATATTAAACAACTGATTCTTTCTCATGACCAACTTTGAAACAGAGGTATAGAACTCAATTCCTTTGGGGGAATTTTGTGCTCAACAGTCTTCACAGATCCAAATGGTTGTGGGTGGGCCTCAACATCTGAAAGCCAGAGAGACACAAGAACTTGTCAATGTGTCGGGAGGTAAGAGTTAACACTACCACTGGCATCCTCGGTGTTCGCATAGAGATTGTCAGGACTAGGAGCCAGTCATTATTTTGGCTTCCAGTATCATAGCAGACCGGTGGGACCCAAGGCCTGTTGGCAGTGGTTTTCAGGTAGAATGAAAGAGGTGCCTTCTTGAAGACTTGAGGTCAGTTCTTACTCTGAAATGCACAAATCAGAATAATCGGAGGGAAAATTAATTGTCAGTTTTGTGGCCTCTGGATCTGGATTGCCCAGAGCCCCAAACGCAGTAAATCAGAGCAGCCAGGGAGCACCTACTACAGCTATATTGAACCTGGGTGGAAAATGCTGGTTCCAGTTCCCACCTCCAGTGACTGTTTTATAGTTTACACCACCAGTAATTCCGAGTACTTACATGTACCATTTTATAAGAAAGCAGGTGGTCAAAATCTGACTCATGACAAGTCCGTTCTGTGATACTACTAAAGAAAAAAACATGAACTAAATGTTTCTTCTACTGCAGGTTTCCCATTGTCTGCAAGGGGAAAAGACGTGTCAAGTAGAGGAGATAAAACGTACAAAAGATACAGGCACCTGAGTTTTGGATCTCATGCGAACTGTGGTAGGAAATTAAATCTAACCCAACAGTGGAGGTTTGCAGAATTTAAGCAACTTACCAGGTCAAAAAGATGCACAGCGACCTTCCAGTCATTCTCCTCTTTACCCTTCTTATTTTACTGTGTTTGAAGGCAGAGATGTAATAGAATCCATCACAGGTGGATCCTAAATCCACTCCTGGCCTTACTGCAAGGAGTCTGTAGCCGAGACTTTGAGTTTTTGTTCACCTAGAACCATATCCACAGAGGCACGAGGTGCACAAGCACCTCCCCACCTTTGTGAGTCCAGGCCCTGACTTGGTCCGGTGGGGTACAGACGTTAAGCCTTGCACAAATTGTGCATGTCTGGAATAGCTGTGATTTATGAAATGCAACAGTTACTTTCTGGTATTTTGTGGTGTTCTAACTTCCTAGGATATTATTTCCATGATCACTGTTGGTAGATTACACATGAAATCATTAAAAGTACTATTTTAAGAAGTAATATACTACATCTGTAGGCAATTATATAAAAGTACAAATGTTAAGCCACAGTAATGTCCTTGAACACAACACAAGGAGCTTTGATAGTCTAAAATAAATCACATTAAGAAAGTGATGTGTTCTGTTTCATTTTTATCCTGTCACCCAGAGATTATGTAAATCATTCTTAACACTCAGTAGTCAGGGATCATATTAATAATTCCCAATGAGACCGTAATAGTTTTTTATTCACTGAAGAAATCGAGACAGTAAGTCAAAAAAGTATTCAGTATAGGTGAATTTCCAAGTTTGGAAAAAAAAAAAAAAGACGGTAAGTAAGAGTAACTTAGAATATTATTGGGTATCTTTATCAGTCCTGTAGTTCAAGGATTTGTAATTGTTTTTCAAATGTAAAATTTACTGCAATAAATGGATGATCTGCACAGAAGACAACAAAAATGAACTGCTGACACTGTGTACTCTGAGAGTATACTCTTACTGACATAAGCAAGAGGTGAAAAATGGTCAACAAAAGCATTTTAAACTTAAAATAAAGCCAAAGGACTTGGATTCTGTTGAATTGTGGAGCAATCAACTTGGTAACATATGAACATACTGTTTTCCACATGTGCAAAGCAGGACCTCATCTTCTGACAAACAACGCAACTCGACTACAGCCTAAAGCTGCAGAAACTACCCGCAGATCGCCGACTCTTGGATCACGCCCCATGGCGGCACGGCAGGAAGACTTCAGTCTCTTGCAGTGTGATTTGCAGTCTCTGCACCTGGTTCAACGCCCAGCTGGTTCAGAGGACCTCCTGTTTTGAGCAGGTTGTTTGCAACGGAGAGGTGTGAAAGGAGAAGTGCAACTTTTGACCTAAGTACAGCCCACCTCACTGTTTTGCAAAGCTGGCCACTGCAGAAAATTCTCCAGAAACCGCACTCCCTTTTCAGTAAGAGGTTAGGCCCATTTTTAGCAGTGATATGAACACACCACTCCATGGGACACAGGCAGCCTCTACTTCAACTTCGGAGTCCCTCCTGTTGCTGAAAAAGGCTATGGAGAAGGTAAACGAATTTCACAAATAATTTCAAATATGAAACGTTTCTCTCTTCTTATGATTCTTAACAGCATTAGTGGAAAGCAGCAGGGCAGGAAGGGGACATGTACATACAGAAACATTTCAGCAGCAGCATTCTTTTGGATGTGTAATAAATTACTAGATACAAAACAGCAATGTTGCCAGAACAGTTATGAGTAATGAGTAAGTAAATCCTGTCTTCTATCTTAATTTACCAATTCAACACCAGTACTGCAGACAAAAGGGTAAATTGGTATCAGATGAAATTCCAAGGAATTGAGTTATATTAAGAATTAATCAAGATGAGGAGGAGCCTAGTGGCTTCACCAGCAAAACATGTCAGCATTTGCCAGAAAGAAACCACCTGCTGCTACTAAGAAATCAGTTTGAAAATGTCATCCTCTTTCTAGACAAGTTTGGTTTTATTTTTAAGTCACTGAAAGTTAGCTGGCTAGCATACAGCTAGTATTCAGATTTTCCCTTGTGTAATGGCTTAGAACAAGCCAAAGGCAAGTAACAAAACATAAATAAAAATTCTTGGAGAACACTGTGAAAAGCAGCAACGTATTACACGAACACCACTTTAACATCTGTGCTGGAATCAGTGGCTACAGGAGATCAACTCCCCTTTTTGCTTTTTCAGCTTCAGTTTTTTGAGTCAAGGCTAAGAAATGTTTGCAAGGGAATAAAAAGGAAGTCTTCGTATTTCTAATTCCAAAGTTAAAAAAAAATGACAATATCAAGTCTATCAATATCTACAGCTTTCATTCAGTTTTATAAAAAAATACAGATTTTATATACCCATAAATCTATAACAGACGCCAAAACATACACCTACAGTTCTGCTTCAGTAATATCCTCATCAGGGCAACAGTAGTATTCCACAAAACAGATCTGTCCATCTTCATTCCTAATCATATACTGCAGTGAAAGAAATCCTTGAGCATCTGTTCGAATGGACACTTTACAAGATAAAGCCAGTGCCTTTGTAGATGGTTTAAGCAAAGAAATCTTGTACCTGCAGGGGAAAAAAAAGTCATCTGAAAAAAATACAGTGTACAGAGAGGAGCGGAAACATTACTCCCAAGTAAAGCCACAGAATAACTAGCAACGTGCTAATTTGATCTTTTCCTGCTAACAACGTCAGACAGACATTGTTATCGCTTAGCTTTTGATCACAGACACAGACTTTTATCAGATGGGAAGTATTTTTTTTTCCCCTGTACTAGTGAAATAAATGGTACAGTAATGCAAAAACAGTTTTTAAAACTTTCCAGCGAGAACGCATGACCTGCCACAGAGGGCACCGATCACAGACTTCCTAACCTGTTTGTCTGGGTCTGGTTACAGTGGAATGCTTCCATCAAATCAGAGTCCTTAGGGTAGTCCAGATGCGCACTTCCTGCATTTCCAAAAGTGGATAACCTGGAAGAGAAAAGGCACCATCTCAAAATACCTGATCACAGCTCTCTAAAAACTCATCAGAATCAGTCGTCTTGCATATCTCACTGGTTGTTTCACAAAACACTATTGTTTGTTTTATTAAAAATGCTAAACTGTCCGCATCAGTGTCACATTTACCAGGTTGTCAATATATTCATTACTATTTTTAATTAGATTACATATTGTGATTTGCTATACTCATTACAATTCTTCTTGAAATAAAGCAATATTCTAAAATAGCTCCCCCCGCTTCACACTAAAAACTTCCAGTCCTTACCAACGAAGGCCAAGCATGAACATTTGAGTTAAAAGCGTAGTTTCCAGTACCTGAAGTAGGGTTTATCTGGAGACATGGTAATCTGCAGAACTTCACTGGTCATATCCAGTTCGGCAAATGCTTCTCGTAGCCCCTCCGACTGCAGGATAATTTTATTAACAACCTTTGTACTGCAGAAATCAAAGTCTAACAACTCATCAGGTTCTTGAGTGTTAATTTTGCACACTGTCACTACTCCTCCTTCTTCCAAGAACAGCATCAAGGGATAACCATAACCACGGTAACACATCCTAAGGGCCGTTGATGTTCCTGAAAAAAGAGAATGAAATACACATTCTTCAGAAAGCTAGCTAGCACATCTGATCACTTTAGAAAATTCACATTTTACTGGCATAAGGGGCACAGATCAATTTGATTCAGCATGTTTGGTCCATCCTCCAATACATTAATGTAGCATGCTTAGTGCAGCCTCCTAGACACCCTATGAAGTGCTAACGGTTATGCAGCAAAATGAAATGATTTGTATGTAGACACCAGTTCAAATCCAACTCGTGTCATGCACCAAATGGGTAACACCAGCTGTGACAATGAAGCTGGATATGCTACAAATAGTTTAGCAGAATTGGAAAATCCTCCGTGGTCCTGAGGCTTTCTCTGGCTCACATTGTCTTTCTTTACTACTCGTGTTACTTGTGCAACCAGTAACAATACAAAAACAGGTCTAAAGTGCTCTTACAGCACCTGAAGTGCTACCCAATCCAGCCACAGATTTCTTATGAGACCTTAGGTAAGTATCATTCCTCAGTACCTTATCTGCAAGCTGGAGATAATACTCACAAACAGATGCAGGTACAGCCTGAAGAAGGGAAGGAACAGAAGGTGCCAGGTAACAGCTACTGCACTGGGAGCAGGAGCACAGTGAGCTGATGGTGCTACCTGGAACCCCTGTGGACTTCTTCTAGCCCAGTAAATCTGCACCAGAACACTTCTTAATTCACGCATATGCTTGTTAATGTTTCTGAGGTAGCTGGATGTTCTAGGGTTGCACAAGCCACAGAAATATTGGAAAAGAGATCACATTTATTATTGAGCTGATACAAAATTTTTTGTTAGCAAGACAAATTCCAAGCAATGGCTATACTGTCTCTCAGTGTGCTGATTTCTGCTACAGTTCACAGCAATTAGTCAGCGTGAATCCCTTGTAAGCCCAGTGTGGATCCCCTGTGGCCTTAAGATGTTGTCATGGTTTGACCTCAGCTGGCAATTGAGCACCACACAGCTGCTCACTCACTCCCCCCTCCCCAGTGGGATGGGGGAGAGAATCAGAAGAGTAAAGGTGAGAAAACTCATGGGTTGAGATAAGAACAGCTTAATAATTGAAATAAAATAGTAATAATAACAGTAATAATACAAGAATACACAAAGCAAGTGATGCACAATGCAATTGCTCACCACCCGCCGACCGATGCCCAGCCAGTCCCCGAGCAGCAGCCCCCCCGGCCAGCTTTCCCCAGTTCATGTACTGAGCATGACGTCACATGGTATGGAATGTCCCTTTGGCCAGTTTGGGTCAGCTGTCCTGGCTCTGCCCCCTCCCAGCTTCTTGTGAACCCCCAGCCTTCTCAGTCGGTAGAGCATGGGAAGCTGGAAAGTCCTTGACTAGTGTAAGCACGACTTAGCAACAACTGAAACATCGGTGTGTTATCAACATTATTCTCATCCTAAATCCAAAACACAGCACTGTGCCAGCTACTAGGAATAAAATTCACTCTATCCCAGCCGAAATCAGGACAGATGTACTGATAGCTTTCGTGCTTTTCCAGCTCAAAGTGACAGCTCTGATAAGAGGCTGCCCCAGCTTGCCCAAGCAGTAGTCTTTTGCCTGATGTTGAGGGTATGTGCAGCCTGCCCTGCTGGCCACTTAAAAGCATGTGACAGTGTGAAGCACCATCCCTAGTAGACGGAATCTTGGGGCTGTCTGCATCCCTACTGACTACCCTGAATGGGCTGCAGAGGAACTATTCTGCCAGCTGTGCCCAGGTTTTCCCCTTAAGTGAAGGGCACTGGGGAACAAATTAGTGTTTGTGTGATGTGGATGGTCTGGGCCCTGGACTGAAAACAGATCGACAGGAAAGGCAGCCATGGCATGTGTGAGTCCTAGGGTACAGCACTGGCCTCAGAGTCAGAACTCCAGCCTAAACTTCACACAACTTGCCAGAGATGCCTGAACAAATTACTTGACATGTTTTCTTATCAAGATTACAGAAACTATTTGAGATCTTCAGCCCCAAACCAGAGCAAGGGTACAAGCTGGGGCTGTTCATTGGACCTCATGCCACAAAAGGGTTCTCTCCCAAAACAAGTGGTTCTTTTGTGCCTTACACAGATCCAGGAAACATTACCTTCACAGGAAGACTCCTCTGTTTCTCAGTTTCCCCAATAGCCTCACACAGACATATACCTTTATTCCATCTTCCAAACTGAATCAGCCTCTTTTAGCCTCTCCTGCTGCAGCGGCCCCTGACACACTGGTTAGGCTCACATCCATCAGCTCCTTTCTTCTCCCCATCGACTGTTATCACAGCACACACTTGTATTAGCTTAAGTAAACAGGATGGATCCTGCTTAACAGCTGCCATGCTCAAAAGGACTTAAGGTGAGGAAGTCAGAAGTTAGGCCAAGATTGGAAATCTCTCTAAAGCTATGTACAGGTTTCACTATGTGATTACACGTGATACACATACCCTGTCAAGGTAAATATGCACCATACCTGGCAAAGAACTGGTACCAAAAATGGTCAAGCAGTCAAGAAGAACAGACAAATTGATCCGGAACGTCACCGATTCCTCCTGAACAGCAAATTCCTGAAAAATTTCTGCCTGTAAGAGAAAGGAAAGAGACGAAGAGAGGTGAGTTTCTGCAATCATTTTATAGTTTACACTTACTTCCTTAAATTCAGCGCTTTCACTTTCAGAGATCAGTGCAATACAAAGTGATTTCTACATGTAACATGACATTGATTAAAGAAAAATGGGTCTTCATCCTCAAAGCTAGTAAAATAAAATCAGGTCACAGGTGAAACAAAGTAGCACGAAAACCTAAACACTTGTCTTTTATAGTTTAAAAACAAGCTACAAATGTTAAAGCCTAAAGCTGCCTACTTCTGGCTGGAAACATTCAGGGAACTATACATGTAAGTGCCACCCTTCTCCAGAAACAATACTTACTTACTTTTCTTCACCTGGAGCATGAATAAAAATTTCAAATAATAAAAATATGTAAGAACAGAACAGAATAGTGAGTTCAGCACACAGAAACATGCCTTTGACTAGTCTGATGAGGGTAAACTACTCCAGGCTACCTCCCCTTTGCCACTGGGCACTAGCTGCTTTGTGGTAACTGCAGGAACAGAGTATCTCAGAAATAAAGCAGGGTGATGTGAGCTGCTTTTGAAAAAGCAGTTACATATTTTTATTGGCAGCCAAGAGGGCAAACTGCATCCTGGGGCGCATCAAGCACAGCATAACCAGCCGGTCAAAAGAGGCGATTGTCCCGCTGTATTCAGCGTTGCTGCGGCCTCACCTTGAGTGCTGTGTGCAGTTCTGGGCCCCACAATTTAAGAAGGATGTGAAGGTCCTTGAATGCCTCCAGAGGAGGGCAACAAAGCTGGTGAAAGGGCTGGAAGGCATGTCCTGTGAGGAGCGGCTGAGGACTGTGGGCTTGTCTAGTTTGGAGAAAAGGAGGCTGAGGGGCGACCTCATTGCTCTCTACAGCTTCCTGAGGAGGGGACATGGAGAGGGAGGTGCTGAGCTCTTCTCCCTGGTACCCAGGGGAGGTTTAGACTGGACATTCGGAAGCATTTCTTTACCGAGAGGGTGGTCAAACACTGGAACAGGCTTCCTAGAGAGGTGGTCGATGCCCCAAGGCTGTCAGTGTTTAAAAGGTATTTGGACAATGCCCTTAATAACATGCTTTAACTTTTGGTCAGCCCTGAATTGGTCAGGCAGTTGGACTAGATGGTTGTTGTAGGTCCCTTCCAACTGGAACTTTCTATTCTATACTTAACAGCTCAACACTCTTAAAGGAACCTCTGCTTAACCCACTGCTTAACTGCCACTAAAACATGCCGGCCACTCCATGAGCCAGCTTAACTCACTCAAATAGCAGAAAGCTAACCAAACAAATACAGCACTAGTGTAAAGAAGGACTGTGCAGCAAGGAGCAGGAGAAAGCAAGGGGAGATGCAGGAACAGGGAAACTCAGGTTTCTCCTCTTTCATACACAGCTCAGGCTGCAGTTTCGCAGACAGCAAAGACTCAGACTCTAAAGGACAGAAGAAAGGTAAAGTTGGGTTCGAGTTACTACCATAAAATATTCCTCGCCCCTTCCATTTACATCCCCAGTGTCATACATGCTTTCAAAAACAGGAACCAGCACAATACCTGTTCTTATGAACAAAGCATTTACAAGTTGGATATGCACTAAATAAAAACAAACAAACAAACAAAACACTCAGAAAGTAAACCATTGTTAAAAGAAGAAAAAAGTAAAAGTGCACCTTAAAAAATTAAAACGAAGGAAAGCCAGCAGTCACAGCTATGGAAGAGGTAGCAGAAAAGTGACCAAGGCTGCTTTTGATCTTATATTAAATACAAGTTAAGAATAAATAATTTAGATTGCTATTTAAAGCTGCCTATATGGACAGTTCAGTGTAGCTGAGACCCTCTGTCTATGCGTAACCTCTCAAGCACCCTTTCTGGACAAAGTTCAAGCACAGGCGGACTCAGAGAGGGAAAGGGGCAGACCACCGCCCCAGTCTTGTGATGAAGCACACACTCCTGCCCTGTGGTCGGAAGCTCTCAGCTTAGCCCAGCTGATACGCTGTAGATGAGCGTCTGTGAATTCGTACTCTCTTTCAGGGTTGACTTAAATTCACCTTTTTGGCTTTGGGATGAAACATAATAAAAATACTTAAAGACAGATAGGTACTTTATGAACTTGCTCATGCACCTAAGAACGGTATGGTCAGACGGAGCAGTGGGCTTAGCAGGTGCCAACACATTAAACAAGGGTGCAAGCTCATCACACGAGCAGGCACGCATGAACAAACCAGGCGCTGAGCTCGGCCTTTCAATAGCACGGACACCTCATAAACGACCGCAGCCTCATCACAGCAATTCCTTCACGTCAGCTCGCACAGCTCTGCCTTTACCCCCTTCTCCGCGGGTAAACTTGCTGGACGCCGCCCCTACCACCTAACCGGGGCCCTTCTAAGGCCGCTAACGGCGCTACCAGCCCCTCCTCACCGCTAACGCCGGGGAGGGGCTGCCCCGCCAGCAGCAGCCGTGGGGGGGGGGGGGGGGGGGCGCAGCCCCCACCTGGATGAAGGCGTTGGCCTGGATGCATTTGGCGTCCTCCACCGTCACCCTGAGGCCGTTGGCCGTGGCGAAGCAGGTGGCGTGGTCCTGGAAGTGGACGGCCCGGAGGAGGCTGGAGAGGTGGCGGGCGTTGTACAGGCTGGCGGCCAGCACGTACG